GGGTAGATGAGGCGCTTAGGGACATGGTTTAGTGGGCATGGTCGTGTTGGGTTGACGGTTGGACTCGATGATCTTGGAGGTCTCTTCCAACCTTAATGATTCTATGATTCTATGAAATTAAATAGTGCCCAGGAAGAGGCACCTTAGCATCTACACACAGTCATCTGCACCATTATTAAATCACTGTAACTGCCTTTGGCACAGTTTTGGTCAACCAGTGTACTCCTGACCAATTTGCAGGCTTTTTTTCAAGATTTTGCATGGAGCAGAAACCACAAACACTCTGTCTGGATGCAGCCACTCAGTCTCAAGGCTAAAAGCATCTGGTAGTATGGATGTGGCCCAGTGGCCTTGGGGCTGAAGAACAGCACCAAGAACTGGCGTGCTTAGTAGAGCTGTAGCTAGACTGTAGCTGTACAGACATGGTGCTACAAAGCCAGGATGCATGAATCCACAAAAATGGCATCTGCAGCCTGGAAAATATAGAAAACGAGAAGAAGCTCCTATCTTTGGTCTCATAAAGCAACTATCAAAACCCCTTTCATTGTTTCAACAGTGTGTACATGGGAGAAGGAAGCAGGAGGACAATCCAAGGGGATGACTCCCATCCAAGAAAATGACTATGTGAGAAGACAGACGAACTACAGCCATATAAGTGCTTCAGTCCAACAGGAATGTGCTGTCCTTTGGACAATTGATTACTGCAAAACGTACAAGCCATTTTAAATTTTAAAAAACAAGCACACAGACTATTCCACTAAAAGGAAGGCACAGCAGCCAATGCAGCAGTAGACTAGCAACTGACTGGAATTGTAACAACTAAAATTTGGAAGTCGCATCTCAGACTGAGACGTTCAGAGCTTGACAAGGAGCATTTGGAAACAGACATTGTGTTCTAGGTTTGGCCTCTGCACTGGGGGAGGCAGGGCTGCTCAATCCTTTTCTCCAAGCTTTGTGAGAAGTGTCACACTGACTTACTGACTCACATCACAAACTCCTGTACAGCCTGAAAGCCCCCCACGTCAGCTCTGAGTAGCATGATTTTCAAACAGAAAATCTCTTCTTAAACATCTGGCCTTGAGATGGTTTTCATTAGATATGTCAGCTCGCCTTTCCTTAGAGATAAACCCATTTTTGGCATTTCTTACCTGTATTTCTCATGTCACCATTTCCTGGATCATTTATCTGTCAACACCAAGTGTCACGTGCTCAAGTACTTGTCAAACTGGAGGATTTAATGAACCAGAACCTCCATCCAGAATTACCTCTACTCAAAATTCCTACTTTACTGACTCTTTGACATTTAAGACCAAAACATACTTCAGATGATCTAGTTTAAT